TTTCAATTCGAACCAGTAGTTTCTGAGATTACTAACAAACAATCTCTGCAGCTTTATATATTTGTATAGAGAGATATTAGATACTAGTTCTATACGTGCAGTGACTAGACTATCAGTATTACAGAGGCATCATTTATGGTGGATAATCCCATCAATGCATCTCCAATCTCTTCGCCAGTTGACTAAGCGCTTTATTATAATGATATTATAACGAGACAGCTTTCGGCTCACAATATGTTAACTGGGTCATTACGTAATCTTGCTTCGGCGTAAAATTTCTACAGAAAATTCTGAGTTCCACATTTTGCATTAAATTAATTATGAAATAAAACCACATGTTTATAAAATCTCAAATGAAACAGATTCTTATTACTTACAATAATTTTGTTTCTAAATAGTTATGGTCCGAAATTAATATCTTTCCTTTTAATATTAGCCTATATTTATCTAAATATGGCGTGCTAAACTTGCATACCATTCCTTCGTATATTAATATTAAATGTGTACTACTCGCATAAACTACAGACAGTATTTACTGTTATGTATGTATTATTAAAAATAACAAATTTTCAATGAATCAAAACAATTATTGTAACTGTACAACTTTATCCGAATTAGAAACTATGCGATAAGGCACTAGACTTTAATATTCGTTTCCCTTCTACTTCAATATACAAGCAAGTTACATAAAAGTAATTTATTTACGTCTCTTACAAATTCCCAACGATGGGACACACGCCTCCTATATTATTTAGTGCGTTTACGCCAAACTTATAAAATTTCCTCCTTATTGATTTTTAACCTAGCTATATATAACTGAAGTTTCTACTTAGCTCTGTAATAAAAAAATCGCCTTAGTATTAATGTTTCTCTACTAACACTCGTTCAAACATCAAAATTCGAGCTGAATTATTTTTAAATTAAATACTCAGTTGCATACCCTTACCTCTAAATGAAACAGATACAATCTATCCAACTAAATTGTATTTTTAAATCGAAAAATTTCCTCCGACTCGCAATTTGCTGCAGAAATTGCAGTAAAAGGGAGTTGTAGTGTTTTCGTAGCGAACGTCAACTGTTACGCCGAGCTACGGTTGTATTATTTGACATAACAACTGTGCTGCACGTATATTTTTAGCACAGAGCCATTTTTAGCCCTTACCTCTTATTTATCATTGTTTTTTAAATACCTCTTGATTTATCATTATTGCTTAAATAATGTACTTTGAACAGTTTGAAACGCGAAACATTTTTGTTTGTGACGATAAAGAATTGTTACAAAACGACAATAAGGAGTTTCAAATTATTATATATTTGTAAATTCATAATTTTATTAATGTTATTTTTAAAAGGTAATACAAAAAATTCCCGATGCTAACAATATAAACTGAGCACAAACGGATTTAATGTTTTTTTGCTCACCTCGAACTTTTTTATCCTGAAATAAAAACTTAGTTAAGCCTTGCACGTGCCAGGGGAAAAAGTTCTTGTAATGAGAGTTATTTATGAGTGGCGTCGGCTAGGCCGCTACTGAATTAATTTTTGTTTATGAACGAACGTTGGGAGGACAACAAAGCTTTACAATAAAATGCTATTTATAATATGTATGTTTGTCTTACACGAACAAAGGAGAAGTTTATAGTTAAGAGAATAGATAAAATTTCTACAGAGAATAAAAAAAAAACAGATTTATTCACAAATTAAGCAACAACGATTTTAACTAAATATTTATGGAGTATTTTTTAAGATAGAGAACGCCAGACAATCATAAAGTTTTATATTTATTGTATATTTATTAAGTCATATAACTTCTAAACAAGATGCATTGTTGACTTATTTTGACTTTAGACAGTCGAAAATCTAACTGAATCTGAAATGCGATTAACTTCACGGTTTTTTCATTTGTGCTCGTTGATTCGTGGTTTGTATGGAATTGCCTATTATTTTGTTTTCATTTTCATTATACAAAGGTTGCCTGGAAGAAATCGCGATAGGCGATAAGGCCGCCTTTGCACTAACTCTTTTATCTAAATATTTATTTTAGTCTTACTATATTTGTATTGTATTTGTTTGTGCAATAAAGTGTTTTATTATTATTATTGCTATATGTCTATCAACCGTTAAATATAAAAAAAATGATTAGAAGCTTGTTGGAAACGGTAGGGATTGAACCCACAGACCGTCGAGTACTTAAAACGTAACTACCATACGACCAAAGAGCTTACCTTTTACGAAATGTTCAATGTGTATCATTCTGTATATAGATTAAATGTAATGTGTACAGTAATACTGAACTCAATTTCTGCGTAACACACTAAATTCAACGAAGGTCTAAGTAATTAGTGTGTTTATATTGCGGCGTTTGAGGAAAACCATTTTAGCACTGTGTATATACAGTTGAACTTTGTTCTTAATAAAACATTTTAACGAATAAAAACGCGAAATAGCAGTCGTGGTCACGGGGAAACGGCTGCAGCAAGGCATCCGAAACGCCGGGCACTAATTAAAGTAATTTTAAATAAGTTTAACTAATACATTTCGCGTTTTAAACCGTTAAACTGTTTTATTTAAATGTGTACTATTCGCGTAAACTACAGAGAGTGTTGAACTCTGATCTTAGTAAAATTTACATGTTAAGTACGAATAAAAGAAACTTAGGTAAACGTTATTCCCCAGGGCTCCCTCAAAAGTACCGTAGCGTTTGGTGATGTGTTTAGTTCTGTTAGGCTATTGTCTCCGAGGAGGTTGAAGTATGATTTACCACACTCCCCACATCACTGTTGCCCGACGTGGGCGTGCATTTGGGATTCACACAATCAGGTAAAAAGAAGGTTAAGGTAAATTCGAAATAACAAAGGATTTTTTTCTTATTTGCATACATTAGGTATTCTATCAGAAGCGAAAGTGCAAATAAGTTTTTCGCATAGCATAAATAGATGGGAATCAATGAAGCGTGCTGAGTCAGCGGAGCGGTGAGGGCGATAAAGCTTTGATCTCAGCCTGGCCTGAACATAATCGACGATCTGACGTGTCATGGTGGGTTACAAGGGTTGAGAGACCTGACGGATAGTGAATGAGAGGAATACTTGAAATATTTCATACATATTGTAGCTATCTCACGTTGACGTAATTGTATTTTAGGAGAAAATATTAACTAGTTGTGTCAGTGAATTCGTCCGCTTAGGATTTTGGACGATTTTTCTTGCAAACCTCGACGGCTTTATAAATTATAGCTGTTAAGTCTTACCCACGATGCTGCGTCCCATCATTCTTGCAAGTTAATCTTAAAAAATAGACATATAGTGTCGCGAACATTTTTTTAGATCATATAAAAGGAATCATTATGTTTGGATATCTCGAACCGTTTTCGTAGCGTACGCATCGGAAATCCAAAAGGATGAATACTTTTACCCGTTTTTTTCACATTTCCCACTGTCTTCTTTCCTCTATTAGTCAGAGGGCAATGTTTTATAGACTACAGCGTTCCTCCATAAATTCTCTAACCAACACACAAATCCTCTGATTAGCGCGTTCAAACAAACAAACTCTTTAGCTAGTATAGATATTGACAGACTCGTTGGTCTTAAGGTAGGGTCATAAGACGATTCCCACCATTGCCTTTATCTAAATTTGTTTATTTTGTTAGACATTAAAGACAATAGTTGTTAAGTTTCGTGTGGCGTTAAATATTTGGTAGAAACTTAAGTAGTTGAAACTAACGAACAGTTTATTTGAATTACCAAAGTTTAGACGCAAGAGCGCCGTTCATTTGAAATACGCAAATATATTACGTCAGTTGAGTAAACATTCGTGTTCACGCTTTTGTTTGACTCATTAAAAGTTACTTATTCAATGTGACATATTATCTGGAATCCTTTGAATATTAATTTTGAATATTAATTTCAATATTAAAACGTAAGCCTTCATACCCATTGGCGAGGGTTATCAGGGCGACCACCAATTAGTGACTTAAACCCCAGAATTAGTCTCTGTCAAAAAGCACATATCAATAATACATATCATATGTTATCAATAAAGGAAACTCAATACTGTCTGTTCGTACTTTACGCGAGTAGTGCACATTTATACCGTTAGTCAATTCTGCAACTTCGACAGAACAGATGGCGTTAGCGTAGCAGTTTTTACTGTGACGTCAGAGACACCCTTCATCTTTAGTCTCTCCGTGACCATTGCCGCTACGAAGCATCCGAAACGTCGGGCGTAGTTAAAATAAATTTCAAATAAGTTTAATTAAAATATATCGCGTTTTAAACCGTTTAAAGTATTTTATTTAAATAAACAGAACTAGTCCGTGAAAGACAGTTGTCTATCTCAAGCCCCACATAGAAGAAACAGAATCTCTTCAAACCCGTATTGAGTACTTCACAATAAACCACAAACAACGCAACTAATCCTGTCAAACATTTTGTGGTAATGAAATCACTTCATGTCAAATCCTCTTTAAACAGAAAAGCCATCGCACCGCTAAATACAAGATAGAATATTGGTGAGGAATTTCGCCAAGTGAATAAATTGTAATCCGCAACGAAGCTAATGACGTGAATATCTTATTACGACCTACTTTTAATGTTTCCTTTTGTTTTTTAATGTATAATAAAATCAAAATAATTTATTCATGTCGATAGGTAGGTATACTTATGACCGTCTAAACAGTTAAAAATTTAAAACTCATTTCTACCAGTTCCCCAAAGTACATACTAATATTAAAACTATACCTATTCTATACCTTTCGTGTCATTATATATAAATACGTATATGTTTTTTTTGTTGTAGAAATAGAGTTATTAAGAAATCGGAAGTTATTCACTTGAAGATTTTCTTTTTACATCAATATCATCAAATGGCTAGGTTTATGCTTATTTCGGCCGTATTTTTTTTTATCGAAACTCATACGATAATGACGCAACCACTACATTCTTTATTGGTTATACGGACAAAATTGTTCATCGCTTAATAATACTGATAAGAGATAAGCTTACCAGAAGTCTGCGCTATCGGCGCTGATAACGCGTTGGACGTCAACAGAAGTAGCGCAAAGGCTGCACACCACATACTCATTGTGACCTGGAACAAGAATATATTATATATTTGAAAACTTTAATATTTTTACATGTTATTGAAACACATGAAAGGACTATATAATTTAAAAATGGAAAATACACTGAAAAAAATTTGGACTCGGGCAGGACTTGAACCGGCATCGTCAACGTTCCGTGCTGTTGCTCTACCAATTTCTAGATTCTTCTACCAATTCATTTTTATATTTTTAAATTAGATAAAGGAGAACAGAAAACATGGGGTTTACTGATGGTTAATGCCCCAAGTATATATTATATAAGCAAGATGCGATTTTGGCTTTGGATATTTGGATGTCCACAGACTGAAACCGTAACGCGATTAAACGTCACAGCTATCATGGTCGGCGGTTTATGACCCGGACGGAATTTCATAATATCCAGATTTCCAGATTCTAAGATGTGTTTATATTGCTAATATTACACCAATGCGCACGTCAGAACATACATTTTATTTTAACAAGAAAAACAATTATATAACTAATTAAAAATTGATAGCGTATGTTAATGATAACGCATTATGTTACGGGACTTTAAACAATTTATGTAAAAAAGCTGTATATAAATAATTATTAGGCTTCAATTTAAAATTATTATTTAAATATTGCGATTATCAAGCCGATAGTAAAAAAATCGTTGTGTTTGTTTAACGTCACGTGACGTTTGCCCTCAGTATAAATAAAGCACTTCTAATGGCTTAAAACGCGAAATATATCAAATTAACTTATTCCTCCCTGTAAACCACGGCTGCTGCAAAGCATCCGAAACGTCGGGCCGAAGTTAAAAATCATTTCCAAACAAGTTTAACTAATATATCGCGTTTTAAACCGTTAAAGTGTTTTATTTAAATTAACTTATTTTTAATTTAACTACGCCTTTTGATACGAATTATAAGTGAAGTAATATATTTCGTGTTATTTACCGTTAGAAATGTTTTATTTAAACAAAGATACATAAAAGATATCAGTCTTAAAAAATAACGTACGTGAAATTTTATTGACATTTACCTGTCTAATTATTTTTAAGCTATCCTCGTAAGATTAAACGAACAAATTGAATTTGTTTACGTATATTCTATTAGCGAATTAACATACATCAATTTAGTTTTGCACAGCAATTAGTCTGTTCAAGCCGCTATGTAGCATTTAACCGAATTATCTAAAGGATCCTGACGTCTTAATAAATTGAATTCGAAGCACTATTCCGATGAAAGAGCGCCACGAAATGCACGTTTAACGAAAACATACAACTAATGTATTAGATTATTGATCGCTGTGAATACTTATAAAATCTCTAGTTTGGAGGTTGTCGAGTGGTCGCGACGAGAGGATACATTTTCTTAATATTTTTTTTTTAGGTTTTAAATTTTTACCTCAATAGATGTAAACGTTTAACAAGGCAACTAATGAGAGAATTCTGTATGTACAAATCTTTATTTATGATATAGGACAGACACGCATGGGGTTCTCTTGGTCGTTAGTGAAATACCCTCGCTATATAACGTCTAAACACGATGCGCTGTCGAGCTGGTTTTCGAAAATCCACAGGCTAAAACCGAAACGCGATTAATTATTCTTCACGGCTTTTCACCAGAGGACGGTGGATTGCCGCCCGGACGGAATTACGATATTCCTACTGCCCATTTAATATCAAGATTGCCAGACGAAGAACAACATGTTTCAGAAAAATTTCAAATTGATTAGATACATTTTGTAGCCGATGGAGATCGAATTCACGAGCCCTTGGTTATTAGCAATACATTGAAAACATTACACCAACGAGCCCATCAAATTACATTTTATAGAAAATTTATACAATGCGACCTTTAGATTCTTAATCAAAGAGGCTTTTCTCTTTTCTCTTATGGATAAATCCATCCAACATAAAGTTTTTAAGTTACCTTTGTTTATCGACCACAACGTGTTAAGCTAACAAGCTCTTATTAAAAAGCTAAAAGAATTACAAACATACTCAAACTCAAGAAGCTAAAACAAAAATAGAAACTCGAAACAAATGTCAGGTTTGTAAACTTTAAGATTGAGTATTTAATTGGATTTTGTTGAATTACCTTTGGGAAATCGGGAGCTGGTTAATTGCTTCATAAGACATTAATGGATTATAGGGCAGTAGAAATACTTCAATTTACCGAAAATTAATACTTCATTATTAATGAGAGTTGTGTTAAATAATGTCTGTAGTTTACACATTTAAATAGAACACTTCAACGGTTTTAAACGCGATCTCTATTAGTTAAAATTATTAAAAAAATATTTTGATTAATTATAAACTGTTTTATTTAAAAGAGAGTTGTGTTGTTCTAGTGTCAAGTGGAAAACACTTGACATAAATTACGTTCAAGTTTGAACTCGGAAGTTATCTGTTTCAGAAACAAGATAGTTATCTGTATATGTGAACATTCTGATAGGCACTTCTAGAAGAATGTGAGCCTAGAATATAGCATTTTAAACCTAATTTTAAAAACTTTAATAAACAATTTAATGAAAACAGTTTCTTCAATACCTATATAATAACAAATCTGGTTCCATTGAAAAAAAATGGGGTTCTGTAAAGGATATATATAAAGTAATATCCCATTTTGCACCGTGTGGAATGGGGCAAAGACATTTCAAGACAAGAGAAGTGGATGGAACTAAATAGATAATTATTTTATAATCTATGTTGCACTTAATCTTAAATAGAAGATAGCTTATTATTATTATTATATCGATAATAAAATAAAAATGCGGATGCGACACACAAACAATTTTGTCGTGGAATTACGTACTACGAATCCTTACATAAATTTCAGTTAGCCGAATGAAAAGGTAGTAAAAAAATATTAACGCCACGTTAAACTTCTTTTTGTTAGACAAGTGTATCTATTACAATATAATGAACTGGTTAGAACCAGAATTCCTCGAAGCCTTAACCGATAGAGCCGTTTGAAACCTAATAGCTGTCGCGTGTTTTCGTATTCAACACGTAGCAGATATGTTTGTTACGTAAAGCTATAAGTAGGTTGAAAGCAGTTCCGATGTGCTCCGGTGACCTAGTTCATACCCCCTCCCGAATGGCGGCTTCGCCCCAACTTTACCCGGTTATCGCTCCAATTTTGTAATAAGTTTGTTTTTGGATATTTTGTAAACAGTGAAGAGTTTCGAACAAAATACGCCGACTGGTGATATAGAAATATATATTTATGTACAAAAAAGTTAGTCGTGAGTCACTTGAGTCAACAAGAATAAATACGGTAGAACAAACGTTGAAAGTATAAAAAAAACGTCACGACACATAGGCAAGACTTGAACCAGCAGCCACCGCGTTCCATACTATTGTAAAAATTATTGTTCTTTCTTATACATTTACGCTTAACATTTCTAATAAAAACAATAACTATTAAATTATAATTTAAAATTTGTTATGTTGAAGGTATTTTTTTATTTATATTAATATAAAATACAGAACTTCATATAAAGTAAGTATTTTAACATGAAATATTGAAATTACTGCGGTACTTCTATTTTCTTAAAACTTGTTCACGCAAGACTAAAATCACACGTAATTTCAAACAAATTTCTTCAAAGTTAATTTCAGTTCAAAACACTATGTTTTAGATGGAATATAAAATTAAAAACAAACAAAACTTAATATTAGTTCTCTCTTGAGACCAAGAATGAGATTAACGTCGCTTTCCCTGTAACGAGTTTTTCACAAACAAAAGGATTTCATTAAGATTCTCTTTCAAAAGGCCACGTGAGAAGATAAAATATGTCTACAAAGAGACTAAGATTAACTAGTAAGAATAACGCAATATCGATTATATTACATTTGTTGACAATATTAGCTTAAGTTTTTTTCTTACTGTTATTAATTTTTATTAAACCGTGAAGTTTGAAGTACTTCATTAATAGGCAAGAAAAGGGATGAACTGTAACTATACAAATTTTATTCATAAGTAAAAGCACACCATGTATAGTGTATTTCTTCTAATTTGAGAAAACCCTAACAAATATGGCCGATTTCATCACCATAGAGACACACCATAGAGAGATAACCTTTTATAGAGTATTATTATTAATAATTAAAATCGATTATGGATGAACCAAAAATAAATATTCAAAATCACTTTTATGCGGCACTTTTTTCAAATGTTTTATGTTATTATTAATTCGCGACGCCGATATCTCGACGGCGTTTGAAGACGTGCATCGATTGTGCATGAGTAGGACTTCTATCTTCTATAGCCGTTGACTTTGCTTACATCCCATCTCTGTGTAAATGTCAGATTAAGGAAATTGTAATCTGTCTGTTTACGTAAATTTATATTAAGGATTATTATTAATTTAGCATAGTGTGGTTTATTACCAAATGAATTTATGTGTTGTTAGTGTAAATCAATGTAAAACTTGTGAGAAAATTACGATTTCATGAAAATTGTATGTTTGTTTAAGAAAACTGTCAAGTTAGATAAAATACACTATATAAGTATATGGTTTTTATGAAAAATGCCTGCGCTGTCCAAGGGCGGATCCAGTTTTGTCGCCAGGAGGCGGTCACAGCCGAGATCTTATAATTGATTTTTGATAACAATAGATACAAGAAAAAAGTAGATATTTTATTTATGTACGTAAACCTACTGTGCTTAAAAAAATATTTATATCAATATATTCAATTAGTGGTCCACCTAAGTCCTGAAAGAGCTCAGGGTGGGAGTCATGACCGCCTTCCTTGACCGCTGTTGGCATTGTCGACCTTTTTTATAATTCAGTCAAAACAGTTAAATACTGTCTATAGTTTACGCGAGTAGTACACATTTAAATACAACACTTTAATGGTTTAAAACGCGATATATTAGTTAAACTTATTTGAAAATGATTTTTAACTTCAGCCCGACGTTTCGGATGCTTTGCAGCAACCGTGGTCACGGGGAGACGCTTTTACTTAAACAGTCATAACAGTGTTTACCTTATACTTAAAGAAATT